CAAGAGGCTGACTGGAAGAAGACTCTACCTAACAAATGAGATTAAAGTGAACTCTGTGAACATGTTGGCCAAAATCAGCGCAGTTTTTTTCATGATGTCACTTCTATTTTAAAATCCAAGTTACTGAAAACATTTACAGTGGATTTTAATAAGACTCTGGTTTCCTGTGGATATTTCCCAAAAGTTATTCCTGCTAGAGTTGCAAGAAATTGTGTCTTTAAAGATAATAGGTAAATTTCTGGGGGCCGAGTCTTTGAAATAAAATCAGAAACTTTCTATTTTTAAACACTCACTTTAAGGTAGACAGGAGAGGACAAAAATACATGTGTGAAACTTGCTAAAGAGTTCTTTGGGGATTACTGGAGTAATTATGAAATGGCATGAAATAAAGAATTCCTCAGTTCATTGGTTTTGCAGGTGAAGGAATAGTGACAAGCTTTTGTCTTTGTCATGTTGATCAGAATGTCTTTGTTACTAATTGCTTCTAACTTCTCCTCTGCTTAATAAACATGAGCACTGGAAATTCGATTAATCAGAAGTGATGGCTTTGTTTCCATTATTCCTTTATGTTCCTTATGCAACTGCTGTGTTACAAGAATAAAGAACTTGATTTACATTTCGGTTACATATATCTAAAGAAAAAATATTAGCCCTTTGTCCTTTGACATGTATAATGTTTTAATGGTAGAGCTAAGAAACATGCTTAGAAGAAAACTAGCTCCGCTCATAAAGTGTAAAGCATTTATAAAGCTTAAATTATTAGTTTTTGTCTACTATTTTGCAGTAAAATGTGCCACAAGTATTTTAAAATTTAAATAACTTTACTATTCCTTCCAAGAATTCCTTCCTTCCAAATTTCTTTGTAATTAATTAAACTGTACCTGTAATTTTTCTTTACACTGCACTTAAAATGAGTGATGGAAAGCAAATGAATATGTCAGTTCCGAAAGTCTGATCTTAATGTGTTTAATAGGAAGTGAAGGGTTTTGTTTGAGACTATACCTTCATCTGGGCATTATGCCCTATTCAGGCAATGAAAATTCTTGGCACTGTTCTTAAAAACCTAAAAATGGTTCTTAGGATGTTATATGTACATATTTTATACCTTTGTTTTTCGGTAGGGAACGATCTGAAAGTCATCACCAAGCAACTCCTGTGTGATGCAGATGTGTTAAGCAGTGTTATAATCGTAACTTTCTAAATGCATCTCCTGTTAAGTATTCTGATATATTTTAAAAATAGTTCAGTTCTGATTGATAGGTGTTAGAAATTGTGTTCTTAACTCATTCTTTGGCCTCTTTTCAATTTGCCATGTCTGATATGCTTCTGTTTTATTGCTAGGAGAAGACTGAATTACAAAATCAGTGGTATTTTTGCTGTGCCCCCCCCCCCCTTTTTTTTTTTTCCTTCGTGAGCATTCTAGTCTGCACTTACTAACCCAGCTGTTACACCTAAACATATAGTGACTGTACTCTACGTCCTTTCTGAATTTTGTATTTTTTTACTGAAATTTCATTTTCAGAGTTTTGTACTGGCATTTCTGCTGCTTCAGAAGTGTAAGTCTTAGATGACCTAAATGTTTTTAACCCTTCAAAACTCATATTGTGATATGATATGCAAATAATGGCATCAAGTGCCGTCAGGTCATCTGAAAGAGCATTTGAAGTGGATGCTTTGATCCTATTACAAGGACAGGTGAGACTAAGAACTATGACCTGAACAATAAAGCATTATAAAAGATAAGTAGATTTTCCAGTATGAAAGGAACAATTATAACTATTCTGTTCCTTATAATTATCATTTAAAACTATACCTTTTAGTATTTGAATGTAAAAGGACATGCAGAAACGTTGAAAATAACAGTCTGTTGATGTAGGATTCAGACTATGCAGCTTGGTCATGAACAATGCTGTGTAACTGGCCGCAGGAAATGGTTTTCTTTCATGATAACGTGTGATGGTTTAAATGGTGAGGAAGGGGGATCAGAAGTTTGCAAGCAGTTTGTGCAGCATCTGCTACTGCTACAATCTAGTTGTTCCTCAGCTATTCTGTACCTCCAGAAACAGAAATACCACAAAATTATGAGAACTATAGCATTTGGTCTAGTAACTCCTTGTTTATTTTTGGAACATCGTTTTAAAAAACATAGATATGCTAATGTGTGTTTTTTTTTTTTCTGTATTTAGTAAATTATTTTTCTGACCTTTTTCTCTGTGACCTCTCGTTAAAGGTCAAAGCTCTTTCTACACGAGTGGCTCTAACCCAGGGGAAGCCAGATGCTCGATGTAGTTTAACATAAATTGGAGAATTTATTTTTTTTTAAAAAAAGAGAGACCTTAAATTAAGGTAGGTGGTTTAGCTTTGGAATTATGTCATATCAATGTCAGCTTAGTTTGCAAATAAGGTCTTGTGTTTATATCACTAATAGTTTTCATAAGACCTTTGTGGCTATAAACAGCCAAGATGGAGTCCCGTAAGTGGGATCCTGTGATATCTCATGGCATGTCTGTACAGCCTTCCTTTTCCTTTGCTTTTTTTAAGAGGCAGTAACTTTAGGTTGATCTGTTTTTGAAGTGTAGTTGAAATATAGCCTGTCTTCTGATATGAAGTAATGTATAGCATATAGTAGCCTCAACTGGAGCTTTGTAGTCCATAGAACAAGTAACTTTTGCTCTGTGCCTAACTTATGTTTTGTTTTTTTGTTAGAATCAAGAAAAGTGTTAGAGAGGCTAATAAGCCTGAAGGTGTGAATCTAGCTTTTGCTCTGGAAACACACCATGGACGCTCTTTGTTATTTGTAGAGAATCATTCCAGTTACCTTTTTCTTACGTGTTAAACTGAAAGCAAAACTCTTCATTTTTGCCCTCTGTTGGTCAGCTGGGAATTAGAGAGCAATAGGGTAAGATTGAGTGGAGTGCTGTTGCTTAGGAAATAAGTGTATTTCCCAAGGTATTTTAATTGTCGTCTGACAGAACAAAATGTTACTTCCATTGTAGTGATATAATTAACTTGGGAGGCAAACATCCTTTATTTCCTCTGTAGTTATTACTGACTCATGTCCTTGCTTATTACATAGTTCACCTGCTTGTAATGCAGTTTTTCGCAGCATCTTCCTTAGTCACTTTGTAAAATTGACCTTAAATAGCAACAGCAATATGTGCAAAGGATCTTAACTGCTTGCTTGACTTCAGTCTCTAAAACTGATGGCAGCAAGCTGGCTCAGAAGTACTAAGTATATTTTTTGGTAGTTTCTATGTAGTCAGCCTTGCTCTTTGGGAAGACCTTAGAGTTATTGTTAAAGAACATTAAGACTTTGGCATTAATCTGTAAAAACATGTAGCTTAACTGGAGGGGGGAAAAAAAGTCTATTGATTTCAAAGGACATGCCTGGACATGGTTCTTGCCAGTGAAGAAAGAGGCAAGGCATAGAGAGCTTTCTAGTACTCTTGATTGTAGAATAAAATATCTTTGAATAATGGATGAAAAAGCTTTCCTTTCTGCAGTGTATTTGGAAGCTGAAGACATATGTGACTGGGATGTCTACCTTAACTGTGCCTCTTTCTTCTAAAAACTCTTTCTGTAGATCTAATTAAGAATACGATTTGGCATTTGGAGTGTTTGAGTAACTGCCCAAGCCATGACGCTCCCGTTTCGCAAGGACTTGGACAAATACAAAGATCTCGATGAGGATGAAATTCTCGGCAAACTTTCAGCTGAAGAATTGAAACAACTGGAAACTGTTTTGGATGATCTTGACCCTGAGGTAAGTATTAGCCAAGAGAAGTTCTGTCTTCTGCTAAGTTACATTGGACTGGTTTCTAAACATGAGACTCTTCTTTTTTTGCTTGAATTCAGCTTGTAGTCGTTATACTGTTGTACAGAGTTCTCTGCTAATCCAAAAATATTAGTTAAAAAAATGTGTATATGATGTCTCAAGTGGTTATTTCCTTTTGCAATCTGAATGCAACCACAGTAGAGGAAAATAGCAAAGGGGACTGTCAGAAGCATCTCCCTGGGAGTTATTTATTAATGAAAAATTGTTGTTAGTGACATTCTTGAGAAGTTTATTTAGAGTTTATTTAGAAAAGCTTTTCTAACTTTCCTGTTCCCGTTATATGGTAAACAACTTTTGTGTCCTTTTCTTATTTTGTTACTTCTACTATTGCAATTTGAGAGGGAGGGAGTATTATATTCTTACAGATTCCTAGTTCTGTATCTCATAGCCTACATCGGTCCTCTTCCTAAATTTGCAAAGAGGAGACAAATAGTCTCATCCTAAACAATTATGTCAACATAGGGTATTGCATAACTAATATTTTAACTTTTGGTAATGAAGAGCTGACTTGTATCCTCCACTGATATTACAGCTAAATTCTGAGTTCAGTACTAATATTTTCATCTTCTGAATCTCTGGTTTGGCTTTAATAAGACCTGCTGAAGGCTGAGCTTGATTTTAAATTTTGTGGTCACCTATTTTGTTGCATGGCAAGATATTCCTAATGCTGATTGTTTTTGGCTTTATAGTTTTGGCAAAGGCAAATTGTATTTTTTTTATGATAGTCTGGAATTCCTCATGCTTATCTTCCCTTTTTTTTTTTCTTTCTTTTTTTTTTTTCCCTCATCCTTTCCCTGCACCCCAACTGAAACAAGATGATAGTAGCAAAAAAAAAAAAAGTCAGCCTCAAAAGTAGAAATACATCTCTGAGTTGCTAGATGAAGGTGAATTGAATAGGCAGTTTTCTTAACACATGGATACATATAGATATTAGTGGTGGATGAGGCAGCCTAGTTACTGTATGTCTAGACTATAAATGGATGAGTTTTATTTACTCCTTCCCATCTAAACAGTTCATTCTGGAAAAGAAATGCGAAGTCACTAGCAAATTTAGTACTGAGAACTGTTGTGCTGAAGAATTGCTTCAGTTCAACTGTGAATGCTCTAAGTAAATAGCTGTTATCTGAAGAACAGATAATCGCCCAAAAAAGAAAGCTGGCAAGTAATTCAAGATTGCCTAGAAAGTATGATCTGTTGGGCTGGAACCTCAGGGAGGGCAGAAGGAAGTGTGTGTGTGTGTGTGTGTGTGTGTTTGGGGGGTGCGGATATTAAGCTGAAATGGTGTTCATCAAAACTTTTTAAAGCTGATTTTTTTTACTTTCCTCCGTTTTGTTTTCTAGAATGCACTTCTTCCTGCAGGCTTCCGACAGAAAGACCAGACTGCTAAAAAGGCTTCAGGCCCTTTTGACAGGGAGCGACTCCTTGCATATTTGGAGAAACAGGCTCTTGAGCACAAGGACAGGGAAGATTATGTGCCTTTTACAAGAGAAAAGAAAGGTAATAACGCCCTTTTCTGTGTAGGTGGATATGAAATTTCTGAAGTGGACCAGCTGGAACTCCTCTGAACCAAAGTTTATTGAAGGAGCGGCAGCTTTCATGCCTTTTAGCTGGTAGCATTTCCCAATGATTGCGCCTGTGCAGAGGCAGGACACTTCCTGTTCGTGTGTTGTGGTGCAGGCGTTGGTGCATTTGCATACACTGGGGGAAGAAAATGAGACTGAAAGTCTCATCAAAGGTCTGAAAGTTCTGATGGGGACCGGCTCCCTGATGTAAGAGCTACCCTGATTTGTATCAAATGCTGTTGTGTCTGTAGCTTGTTGTCTGGACTGCTGAGGACAAACAGCAACATTTGTAATACTGTGTGTAATTTAAACTGCACTGGTAGAATGATTTGCCATGGTAGACAGTAAATAATCAAAGACGTTATAGGTCAGTAAGGCTGGGTAAATGGTCTGTGCAGTGATTGTTGTCTCTTTAATATCTTTACTGAAAGGTTTTAATAAGATTGCATCATTATTGTTAGCTATTAATAGTGTAGTTAGCATTGCAAGAAACTTTGAAATGTATCAATGGTTGGTGGTATAAAAAGCTTGGAAAAATTGACTGATAGGGACACTTACAAAGGTTTGCTATTCTGAAATCATTGTTTGGGATTTTAGCCTTCCCAGTGACTTGCTGAGAGGTGTTTTCTTATTTCTCTATGCCTAGCCAGCCTAGTTTAGTGTAATTATTCACTTCACAGAGAGAGAATGGGGAAATCTATTTTTTTCCCCCTTGCTCATTTTAGCAAAACTGTATCCCACAATGGTGATTCGGCCTTCAGGCTTATCCAGGAAGCTTAGTATGGGTAATTTAAACATCCTTACTTACTGCAGATTATGGTAATCCCTTTTCTCTGCTTCAGTGTAAGTGAAGATTCTCAGACGTTTTGGAGTAGGATGTGTAACAAAGACAATGCTGAATCACCAATAGATGACACGATTCCTGTATGTCCTTGGCACTGTTACTGCTGTGTGTTGTGAAACACAGAAGATCTGAAATCACGTAAAGCATCCTGATGCAGTGAGATGAACAGTGCTAAACAAAATTGAGGCTTAAACCTCCTAGATTATTATATAACATTTTCCATTGCCTGATGTAGTTTCTAAAAGATTGCTGTGTGTAAAGGAAAAAAAAACATACTTTGAAACAAAATTTAAGGCCTTAAGTCACATTCTGTTCCAATTGATGTTGAACTGTACAGTAAACCATTGTTGCCTGCAGTGTAGTTCAGGCTAAGACATTAATGATAGAAACTTTCTCATGAAATACTATTTAAAATGTGACATCTTCAACAAAACTAGTTTTGTCTCAATCTCTTTGCATAAGCCTCTAATAAAAATTTTGCAAGATACTTGCAAAGAGAAGGATCTTTTATCTAAATGGTGAAGCTAGACTTATGCTCAGGTCCGGTTGCTCTGAAATGTATTCTGCACATCTGAGCAAATTACGTGGGCTCTTTGTATCTCTTTGAACAGCAACATATGAGAGCTAGCACACTTCATGTGGGGCAACGGCACGTCTAACCTGTATAATATACTTTGCTTTATATTATACTTTGTTTATACTACAACTTGAGCATATTCTTAGGCTAAAGTTTGTCACCTGTCTAGTGCTTAGCTGATCTGCATTACTGTTTGTTTTTGTTGCAGCAGGATTTGGGATGCTATATTCTCTATTTACTTTTCACATGATCACTGGTCTTTAAAGGGAAGTGTATATTACGTGCTCTGAAATGAAGTTAAGATCTTGTAGAAGCTTTGAAGAAACAACTTGTCAAACTGACATTCTCCATGCAAAAACACTGGAACCAAATAACATCTTCTACTAGCCTTAATGTGAAAGTTTTCTAACTGCTACATGTTCTGTAAACAGATAACAAAAGGATGGGCTCCGCAGTGTGACACTGCACAAGTTGCCTCTCAGATGTATTTTAAAAATTAGTATTTATACTCGTAAGTGATGTACTTTGTCCTGTCTCATAGTAAGAATTAGTGGTTGAACTGTGTATTTTGTATTTTCGATTGATGAGGTCAGTGAGCATAAGAAAGAATATATAGAATACACCAAGCGTTGCTCTTTGTTCTTATTCATGGAGTAACAGCTGATGGGAGATTATGTTTGGGTGTCCTCAGGTGACACGGGATTCCTTTCCCACAAATAGAATAGAGCAGAATGGATTTTAGGCTGTTTTCTGATCTGCAGGCCAGCTAGAGTGAGTGCTGGATTGCGCTTGGGCGTAAGAATAGTACGAACAAAATGCTAAATGTATCTGACTTTTGCAAGGCTTTCAATCCTACCTTGGATAATATCATTCTGTGTGTAACGCCTAGTACTGTCAGTAGATATGATCCAGCATTTTTGGCTTATGAGCAGTACAGTAGTGTGTGATTCAGGAGTTGGTTTATTCTGTTGCAAGAAAAGCCTGCTTTAGAATTAACCCCAAGGGCACCATTTAATGTAGTAGCTCTAGGCATAAAATATAAGAATATATAATTATTACAGAAACTATGATGTGAACATCTCTGAAATTTGTCTCTTTATATTGTATTGTTTGAAATTTGAAGTATACTACTTGGCTTATAAATAACCAGAATATCATGTTTTTTCATGTGATCAGATCACTGATATTTAGAAATGTTCCACTGAAGGGCCAGGAAAGCTATCTGTCATATGGAATGTGCAGATGAGTATGTGTGTTCTTAAAGAAAAAAGTGTTTTTTTTTGTTTTTTTTTTTTTTAAAAAAAAAGGCAACCTGTGATAGTAAAGAGGTAGGGAGTGGGTGGATCCCAAATCTGTCTTGGAAACAGGCCCTGTATTTAGGTCGTTGTCTCCTGAGATCCAGAGGTCTCTTTGAGGTGTTGTTCATTTCCTGCATGCGGGGGGAGGGAGGGACAGCTGCCTTTGTGTTCAAGTTGTAAATCTCTGAACTCTGGGCTAGAGTGAGATGAAATTAGTAAATGAGAGATTGTATAAACATGGGTGTTACCTGCTTTCTAACAAACTGCTACTGACCCGGCTGATGTGACTGGAGTTGCTTCTAATTAACACTGCTTGAGGGGAGCAGCTTTTAACATTTTTGCTTTAGGGAAAGTTCTGGCTTGAAGTCTACGACCTAAAGTGTGCTGGCTGCTGTTTACATTTGTTTGGATGAAGAAATTGTTGTAGTTTCTTTCTCGTGCTTCTTCATTTTTATTAAGTTATTTTAGGATCCAAGCAAGTATGACTAAATTTAGCCTTACTTTTTCAGAAGCGAACTTTTAGAAACCGAGATTCCTGTCGAGCACTGGAGGCAGTAGCTGAAGGATGTGAGATTTGGATACATGGGATTGTTTTTTCTTTTATTTTTTTCATCGTTCACAGAGATAAGCCTGAAGCATCAGTTTAACTAAAGCTTTAGTGGTGACCTGAAAGTGGATGATTCTTCTTGGATTTTGTTCTAAAATGAACCAAAGAGGAGTCTTAAAAGTACCACAGTTAGGACTGTGTGAGGAAGGATCCCACGGTACTGCTAAAAGCAGATTGCGGTGCTCCCTTTTGGATGTTGGCGCTGTTAACACGTGCGCTGAAAAGCAGCTCCAAGAATGCACCCCGAGACTGTCCTTGAATGTGTTCTGCCCTCTGAATCTATGAGGTCTCAATTTAAGTAACTCAAAGTAATCACAAAAGGTGACAGGGCTTCCTTGGAGGAAGGAGGAGACTAGATAGAAAGTATTTTCAATATCAAAAAATGCCATTTACCACTTCTTTTTAGGAAACGTGGTTTCTTAAAGTGTTAGAGGCACTTGTTGCCACAATTCTGAACCAGTTATTTTGTGCTCTTGCATTGGATAAATCCTTACCTCCTCATATTGAACATGGATGAGAAATCTTGACAATAAATAAAATTCTATTGGAAACTGTGTATATTAATCTCAGACAAAATTAGTTTTTGTAATAATCTTATAATTCTTTTAAGCTTTCATGTTCTTTTTCTGCTGTACAAGTGTGAGACTTTTTCTTTGACAAGACTGTTTAGAGAAAGGCATGACTAAGATGCTCTAAGTTCTTCATGTATCCAGGGTTTTGTGGCTATCTGGAGAGACATAGTGCACAGAAGAAGCCAACTTAAAATAAAAAGCAAATGAGTGAATCTGCAACTGATCTGCAGCTTCAGTGTTAATATGAATAAGGCTCAAACCCTGCTGTTTCCTTTTCTTTTTCCTCCTTGTAGTCTGAAAGTCTTGTTTGGTCATTGTATTACTGATGGAAAAACACTGGAAATACAGGCAGTGAAAGCCATTACATTGTGTGTCTGGGTGTTTCAGAGGTTAAAATGTATAATAATTATAGCTACAGTACAGTATCATATATATCAAAGTAGTCTTTTCACTCAAGCCTTCTACTTCTGATTCTTCTACTTTAATCTTGACTCACCACATTTAATTTTGCACTGCCCATCAAAATGGTGTTATCTGGGGTAATGTATTTCAGCAGGTTTCAGCTATTGTTTGTAAGTCAGAACAGCTGAATAAGGAGGTTTATTTTCTGATTCTAAATATGGGTAATGACCATTTATACGACTTTCCAAAGTGACAGCAACCCCAGAGCAAAAATATTGTGTTGCTAACAACAAATCTTTGTCATCATACTGTGATGTTAAGCTGAAAAAAATGATAGGCTCCAGTCTAATCTGTGCTAGCACTAATAAACAATTTATTCTAAAATGAAAATGATCTACAAACTATTGTAATCTAACATGGAGATTTTCAGGGAGAGAGAGAGAAAATATGGATGGATTTTTATTTGTTTTTTTTTTCAATCTGTTGGATCTGGAATCTGTCTGAAGAAGCTAGTTTTGAGAAAAGTGGAAAGGAATATCTTGATTTGTCTGAATTTTCCCAGAATTAAAACTGAAACATGCATATAAAGTTTAATGTCACTAGGAGATATTTAAGAATGCTCAACTCAGTCCAAACATTGTAACAAAATACATTTGTATACAAATGAGGAAAAATATCTTGGGCTTCTGGCATCTAACCAGATAGTCTGAATCTGGTACCCGATGGGTATTGCCATGGGGTAATTGGAATGATCTGGGACAGTTCATTTGTTGGCTGAATGCTCTTAGAGATGAGCACGGAAGATGGGATGCTGAATTACTACAGACTTTATAAAGATTGTTGACACCTCTTACCTTGGGGAGAAAATCGAAGAAGGTTGCAACCCATTTCTTACAGTTCTCTAACAGCTAAGTCAAGCGGAGTGCTAGTGTTGAATGATGCATCAGGTGTTTTACAGAAATGTAAACAGAAACGCAGATAGACTGCGTTTTAATTTAGTCTAGCAAATTGCTTATTATTGTTATTAAGCCTCTGTGTGTGTGTGTGCGCCCATGCACATATATGTGTGTGTTTGTGTGTCTATATTAAAAATGTAGTATCTCGATCTTTTATTTTTCTTGATATTTAACTACATGCAAAAAGTGTGAATAACTTAAAAATAGATTAATGATTTTCTAGATGCATGAAATGGATTTAGTTCTATCACACAATTCCAAAGCTTTCTGTATATCATATTATTTTATCCTAGAACAAAGTATACCTTGCCTCTTGTTAATTTTATGCTGCAGTAGACATCTTTGGTTCTGATAGGAAGGATTTAAAACTAGTCTATCAGAATTGTTTCAAGAATAAGTGTTGAGTAACTCATTTTCTGATTCTTCTGATAACTTTTTAGCAGAAAACATGCTAACTTTCTGGACTTTATATCCTCCTAAAATAGCTTTTTCCTAAAATAACTTTTTTAAAAAAATTGGTCAACATCCAAAATCAGAACTCGAAGATAGCTGTAAATTTACAGTGAATATTCTGGTCCATATTTTCAGAAGATTTTTGGGTATCTCACTTATCTGACGTATTCACCTTGCAGCTCTGCCTGGGTGCCTTTCTCCGTTGAGGCAGATAAGCATATAAGACATCATTTTCTAGTGATACTGAAGTTTCTTTGCAGGTACTTTTTCTAGGGCATTTATAATTTATAATATAGCCTTATATAATGCTTTCTGATACCACAAAGAGACAAATAATGTCTCAGGAGTCTGTATCCTGGCTCCAAGTCTGGAATTGTAAGTAATGTAAGATTCCTGTTTATGCCTTTTCCTCATCTCTGACTTTCAAGGACAAACAGAAGAAACCTCATTGCTTTGTTGTTTCTGCTGCTCATATTCTCAAGACTTACTAAATGTATTATGTACTCTCTAACTATAGAAAAGCTTAAGGATAGTTGTATAAAACAAAGTAATATCACACTTTTTATTTTCTTTACTCCAGGGAAAATATTTATTCCAAAACAAAAGCCTGTACAGTCTTTCAATGAAGAAAAAATATCTCTTGATCCAGAATTGGAGGAAGCCTTGACGAGTGCCACAGACACAGAATTATGTGACCTTGCAGGTTAGCTTTTCAACATATGAATGGGAGGGTGCATATTGACACAGGAATGATCTTATAAGTAATGTTATCATATATTTGTTATCTAAAACCTGATTATATGAGGTTGTAATTGTGGTAGAACCTGTATCATGATACGTGCCATGTCACTTGTAGATTCATCATTGTACAATTCATCGCTGTAGATTTGTGTTAATATCTAAATTCATCCTTCAGGCTGCGGATCTTTTATTAAGTGTATGCTATTGCTTTCTCTTACCTGCAAGAATGTGTTGCTGTGTGCTTTGAACTTGATTCCTGAAGAGGAATCAAGAGTTTTGTGCACCACGATATCACGACTGATCTGACTGTTCTTAAAGCAACTAATTAGCCATGAATAGTAACATTGTTTTGTCTTTTTTCTTCTTTTTCTTTTCAGCTATACTGGGAATGTCCAACTTAATAACAAACAATCAGTTCTGTGATGTAGTAGGAAGCAGTAATGGGATTGACAAAGACAGCTTCTCAAGTAAGTATACAAGTATATAAATAAAAAGTTTTCTATTGCACATTGTCTTTGCAATAGCAAAGTTATTTTATTAGTTATTTTCTGTTGCACTGATATTCTTAATAGTATTTTTTTCTGAATTTGAAATATGCGTGTCTACAATATTACTAGTTGAATTATGGTGAGGGTGGAAGTAAAATATATGCATCTACAGTAAAATTTATTCTGCAGTTAATCCACTTTGGAGTAAAGTGGGTGCAAGCCCATTTGTATGTCTTGGTTTTTAGGCTTCATGTTTGTGTTCACTATTCAATTCCTGTGTGCTTTCTGAAAAGAACTGGTGCATGAGAAAACCAGAATGAAGCCTTTGGGAAAGGACTGAACTTTATGAAAATATGGTCGGGAGAAGGTGGTATGTTTTGAGTAGGGGAGAAATGTAAAAAGTAATCAAATGATCTTGAGGTACATTTAGTATTTAGTGTGTGTATTTGTTGCGACCTGTGTGATTTCAATTATATGCCTTACTCTGCAGATATAGTAAAAGGCGAAAAAATGTTGCCTGTTTTTGATGAACCACCAAATCCCACGAATGTGGAAGAGACTTTGCAAAGAATTAAAGATAATGATTCCCGCCTTGTTGAAGTTAATCTAAATAATATTAAGGTAATTATTTTACATCTAAAATAAGCAAACTGCATTTTCTCAGTAGAAAATGCTTTAAGTTATGAAATACTGTAAAGCAGTCTGATAGCTGTAAAAAGAATAGGGTAATGCTGAAGGGGGCAAAAAAAAAAAGAGCTTAAATATATAAAATGCTGTTTTTAATTCAAGAACATTCCAATTCCAACGCTGAAAGAGTTTGCAAAAGCCCTAGAAACCAACACACATGTGAAGACTTTCAGCCTTGCAGCCACCCGAAGTAATGATCCTGTTGCTGTTGTAAGTGAACTGAGTTTCTTTGCTTATGTGTTTGAATGGGGAACTAAGGAAGTCAGGAAAGAAACTAGTAGGGGCTTGAAGTGAATCTTTTTAAAATATCTGGGGATGAAAATGATTAACTTCAGCTAGATCATAAAGGTTTTTTTCTGTTTTTAACAAATATTTGGTGTTTCAAAGTTGTTAAATACTTTTTAGTTCACAAGAATACAGCAAGAAATAAGATGTATGAGATAAATGAGAACTTGATCTTTTTTGAACTATTTTTTTGTTTGTTTATTAAATCATAAGCTGTGCCCCCCCCCCCGCTCCTTTTTTTAAGGGTAAAAAGACAGCATTAAATGTTCTTCTAGGATAATCCTTTTTTTTGAAATTGGAAAGAACAGAAGTGTGAAACATTTGGTTAAAGGAAAATTTAAAAGCTATGTTTTGGGTTAATTAAAACATTCCTTTTCTGTTGAGCCGAAACATTTTGTAATGAAGTGTAGAGTGTTCTCTTTTTCTCTTTCTCTCTTTCCATCTCTTTGTCTCTCTCTCTTTTCCATATTGTAAATTAATCCAAAAAGTTTACATGGTGTGATAATGAAGCTAATGGTTATGACCATAAGCATCAGGCGTTACCTGTTGTAATTTTCTGAGAAATAAGATCAGGTATTTGCCATTTCTATTAAAGTATTTTTAAGCACATATTAATATCACTTTTAAGGTTTTGAATTTTACTGCTTAGTCATATTAGCAGATCAGAAGCATTCTGAAAGTCAAATCTGCCGTTTACAAATTAACTATATCCAATTCTCTTTTCAGTTGACTAAACACCCTTTTTTGTCCTTTTACTTAGCAGCTTGCTTTACTCATTGTATGCTCTGGAGGCTTACAAAATGGAATTGGTCCAATATGCTAATTTCAGACAATTTATATTCTGTGTATGTTTTTAGCTTGTAACAAGAGCAAGAAAGGCCTTCTCCTGACCATGTACTTTTAAATGGGATAAGGTAGATAAAGCCTAGTTGAACACTCACTTCAGTCTCGAATAATAAGTCCATGCTTAATCATAAATGCGTAGTTCAACTCTACATGTTGCTCCTGCTGAGTTAGCTAGTGAAAATAACTACCACTGTTCCATGACATGATGTAGTGCAGCACTGTTCAAAGTTATAACCAGGCTTTCTTGCATTCCAAGGCTCTTGCAGATATGTTGAAGGTAAACACAAAATTAAAAAGTTTGAACATAGAATCGAATTTCATCACTGGAGTTGGGATTTTGGCACTGGTTGATGCACTGAAAGACAATGAAACATTAACAGAAATAAAAATTGATAATCAGGTAAGTGAGGCAGGGGTAATATGATAATTAAAATCAGATTTTATGCACTCTCTGCCCTAACTGTGACTGCATAATTTTAGATGGTAGTCTGTGATGGACTTCCCAAAATATTTTACTTTTAAATACCATAACCCCATGCATGATTGTCTTTGAGGATTTCATAATTATCCAGTTGAACTTAATTCCTAGTTACTTTTGTAATTGCTGGTGGGCAAGCGTTATGATGTTGTGAGCTTATGCCCAGTATAACACTTGATGACAAGTAGGATGAAAGTAAGGTGTTTTTTTTTTTGTGAGTGAATAAACCTAATTTCTGTTGTCTTGCATCCTTTTTTTATAATAGAGGCAACAGTTGGGAACAATTGCCGAAGTGGAAATTGCCAAGATGCTTGAGGAAAACACCAAGATTCTTAAATTTGGATACCAGTTCACACAGCAGGGACCTCGGGCCAGGGCAGCTGCAGCTATCACAAAAAATAATGATTTGGGTAAGACCCATGACTATAAAATGAATGTAGCACAGATTCTACAGGTGGTTTTGTTATGCACTTCTGACATGATGTTTCAGGCCTCTTCTGTGCTTTACTTCCATTTTTCTGTTTGCTGCTGTGTTGCCCTTTTTTATGGGGGGTTCAGGTGTATGAGGTTTGGACGTGCTTGGCAGCATAGTCTAAAACAAGGAAGAATGTTTGAATTATAGGTAAGGTGAGGCAAAAAGGGCATAGTTTTGATCATTCTATTTTGATTCAGATAAAATCCATTGTCACTTTAAAAACAGTACACTGGAAATCATTATTGTAAGGTGCTCTCCTCCTTGCCCATATATCCAGTCTTATTTGAAATGTAGGGATTGAATCGTCTGTCACTTGCAGTGGTTGGCACCAGGTTGTCTGTTCCCTTATGATTCTGTTAATGCAGTTATTTTCCCTGTCTTTATTAAAGGTAGCTGGTAGCAGTGACAACTGGCTACAAAAAAACTTTGCTGGAGTTTATCTGTTAGAATCCTCACTAAATGGGACAGCAGAAAATTGGTTAATATCACATGTGAACAGAATTCATTTATATAATAATGTGACATGTTTAAAGCTTTTGACTATATAATCATTCGTTGTGGTGAATCTATTTAAATAGAATTGCTTTGAAAAACTCTGCTTTATTAAACTTCCTGGCTTTAGATGCTCTGTAATATTGTAAGATTTTCAAATTTTTTTGGTGTGAAAATGGGCCAGGGAGTTTTTTAGTACTAGAATAGATGAGAAGGAAGTACAGAGCAAGACAGTTTGATTTGAAGATCTGCTTCCCTTTGAGTAAAGTTCAAGATGGAAGGGATCAGCTCAGAAAAAGTGGGGAGAGTAATAGCTTAGATCGCAGAGGGGGAAGGAAGGCGCACAGACACTGCATAACTGCTTCTCAAAAAAGGTTTCAGATTTTTTTTTTTTTTTTATGTCAATATTTCATGTTTCTTCTGTCATTAAGGTTTCTCTTTGTGCACGCTCTCATTTTAGCATTTGACTGTTGGAAATGTATGTTTCTACTGATATCTTTCCTTTTTTCCTTGATTTCTTAGTCTGGAGTATGCAAGTAAAAATTTCTGCAAATGCTTTTTCATCTCTCCAGCCCTGAAGCTACAGAGACAGGTTACTCTGAATACCCAGTTGGGTATTGAGCATTGAAAACTGAGATGTTTAAAATCTCACATCTCTGTACGTTGTGCTGCTTTTTTCCGTTCTTCTGCATTTCTCTACCTAGCTCACAGTGTGTTGTATTACTTCTGTTCTTCTTGGTCTGAAACTGTTTTTAACTGGATGATTGGAGAAGGCTGAAGTTGGAATCTTTTCCATAAGTTTTTGAAGTTTGCTGAAAGTAGTAATGAGTAACTTATGTAACTGAAGAAAATCATTTGGATTAAAAGTGAGATTTAAAAGTTGATGGGTTACTCTCAAAATAAGTAATACTTCAGCTTTATAAAGGGCTAAGCACTAATATTTTAAATATGAGACTTAAGCAATTAATTGAAAACCTTTTATCCTACTTGGATATTTTGCACTAGAGCATTTCTTCAGACAGGTAGAAACAAAGCCCCTTCCCCTCTGTTTCCCTAGCAAACATAATTTGCTATGGAAAAAGAAATTATCAATCCAAAATACTACAAATCCTGAACAAAACTCCAGTCATTCAGTGAATCTTACATGTTTTAAACTAAGCAGCATGTGAGCTTTTGTGCTTTTTATTCGCAAATTCTTGTTGCTTTTGCAATTTCTGACAATTGAATATTTTTTATTAGTAAATGGAATGCTTTTATTGAACATAACCTCGTGGTTTTGTTTTTACTAAATGTCTGAGTTGTCTTAAGGTATAGTGTGAAACTTTTGTATTGTTTCTTTTGAAGTCATATAACTAAATTCACCACCACTAGAAACTGGCAGTATAAAATCATGTAGCTTGTTAAATCTGCTAACCAACTGTAAAACTGTTGTTTCCTGTTAGCTTCTCAGATTCTTGAAGGTGTTTGTGAATAACAGCAAGCATTGCTAAAGCATAAATTTAAATGGTGGATAATACTAAGTATTAATTATTGTAGTAAGAGAAATTAAAACACAAAATAGGGAACAACACCATGGTTCCCTTAACTGATGTTGTAGAAATGCTTAAAGTATTTCCAGCAATTAAAAAAAATAGTAAAATCTACTTTCTTTCTTACCACAGTTCGCAAGAGAAGGGTCGAAGGAGACAACCAGTGAATCTTGTTGCTGCCAGAACTGTGTTGAGACTTCAAGGGTCTTGAGACTTCAGTGAGGCACAGGCAATCTCTGTGGGCTTTGGCAATCTTGGACTTCATTTACCTGGGTTAGAAGGGAAAAGACTGGAAACCCCATTCCTCTTAAAGCAAAGCTGTATTAATCTGTGTGGTATGCATCACTTCTCTTTCAGATTAAGACATATTAACTGCACAAGTCTCTGTAACAGTTTTTTAAAAACATAGTTGTTTATGTATTATGTAAAAACATAAACACAGTTTTTTTGTATTTCAGACCTCTGCTGTGCTTTTGAGTAAAAATATAAACACAAGTCAATGGAGTTATTGTCTGTAGTCAAAGAACAGGACATTCAAGATCATGGGGCAGATAACCCAATTTAAATGTTTGTTGGAAAATCTAGGCATGCTTATTTACATGTAGGGATGTATATATTCTTAAGAACAGTACTTAAGTCATAAGGGATTCTTTACACAACAATTGGACTCATTATGTAAGCTCTGCTCGGCCTTGTTCATATGCACTGAAATCTTTCACCACTGTCTTATTTGTAATTCTACTCTTTTGATTCATTTTTTGATACTGTGATTAAGTTTAAAAGACACCCCTTTAAAAGCAAACAAAATATATATTGGCTTAAAGAGCTCTTATCCCAAGAGATTTGTGAGGGACTAATAAAAACTAAAGCAGGAGCCTTGCAAACATGACAGTATTTCTGTTACACCTGAATCCTTAGTGATTTAAAGCAATAAAACTATCTTGTTCTTCATCTAAACTGTTTTGAGACCGAGTCCGTATCTTCATCATCATTGTTTATTTCATATTCTTTGTTTTAAAATCCTTATCTAAATAGATAAATAGTATCATTTTTTTTAGAAGTAGTGGATATGGATTCGTTAAAGTCTGTATAATTATGTATTGGAAAAGCAGCTTTAACTGTAAAACTAACGGCCTTACTTAACTAAAGCAAGCAGCAAATGGAAGAATCCTTTTTTAACCTGTTGCATTAAACTATTATCCTTCATATAACAATTTTTTCATAAAACAGTCTGATTTTTTATAAAACAGTAAAGTAACACCTTTCAGAAAGGATCTTTCTGTTTTACTTCATGTCTCCATGTTGAAGCACTACATAGGACATGCAGAAATCAACCAGTACGCAGTGTCAAATCTATATTGCATTGTACTTACAAAAATATTTAAAGTTCTGTATCTAAGCATACTAGTATGGCAACAAGAATCTCCTCAATTTCTATACACTGTTGTAGTGGACTACTTTGATATAACATGAAATCTAGAGGCTATCTTAGGATGTATGTTTATTTGGATTGTATTGTACTAGATTGGTTAATGTTTTAATGACATCATAAGTTCAGAAACACGTTTTAAAGGACTGCTCAGCTATATTTATAACAACTGAACTGACTGAACATTCAACGGAGCATTTTATGTATAGAAAATGTAAAGGACTGAAATTTTGGCATTGTTTATACTATAAACGTTCAGTAGAGCAGTTCTCTCTCACTGTGCCCATGTTGTATTTTACTGCAAATCACGTTTTAGGTCTTTAAAGACAGACTTTATTCTGGAGGTAACTCAATTTTATTGCAACTGTACAGAGAATTTTAAATTTTAATACCTTCAATGAAGATGTAAATAACTGATTTATAATTTTAGAAGGATGTTTCTTTTCTTGTTTCAGAATTGGCCTTTTATTGACTAATTCCAAATAAATGTGGACTCTGAAAAGGAAGCTAAAATTAATTCTGTTAAAAACAAAGACTTTACATGCTATAAATTTGAAACAACTAGAAATGATCTGATGAATAACAATAAAAAGGGCTGTTTTTATTTCTTATATAAATTTTCAAGGACTTTTTTTAGATGTAATTTTGAAATCTAAGTTGTTATAGCATGCATACACTCACGAGCTAAGTGGAATATGTGGGTGTTTTTTGCCTTATTTTGTTTTTACAACTAGTTCTGTATAAGAATGGCCAAAGCGTGCCAGGTGCAAAGTTTTCTAAAGCTGTACTCGATGTTTTATCTACTAGGCACCGTAATCATTTTGTGTCAAAAAAAACAGGTTGTAATGTCTTCCTTCGTTTGTTGAAGGGGCTACATGTTCATGAAATCTGTTCACGTACTGTGTTTCTATGATGATTTATTGTGTCATTAGATAAAAAGTTTATGCAGTTATCTCCTGCTTGAAGATGAAGGAGAAAAAATAAAGTCTGGATTAGAAATGGTAGCTAAAATCTCTACCTTTATTTTACATCTTAAAATTGAGTTTATCTGCTTACGGGTGTATGTTCCAATCAAAGCTGGAGACTTCTCAGGTCTCCTGTCACAGATGCTAGTAATGGACCTCTTTTCATTGGCTTGGCTGTATAGATAACAGCCAAATACTTGACCGCTTGTTGGCAATTGCAAGATAGAAATCAGGCAGAAAATGGGATTTTTCAGTCAGAAGGGCCTGAACCTCTGAATTATTTGGTATGGTGCATGGAAAAGTTAGAGCGCTTATTTTTGTGCAGATGATGTATATCCCTTTTTGGAATAAATGAAGGAATTTGTTTTTTAGCCAGGAATCATAAACAGTCTCAACAGGCAAAGTGAATACTCTGATTTAATGGTCTTGAGTGGAGTGAGATCTTGTGTATGATTTCATTTTTGAGCACAAAAGTGGCATTACTTTTAATAGCCAGCTACAATAAACAAAGTCCCTTTCCCAAAAAAGGTTGTGTTCTTTGTATTTTTATTTCTTTTAAATTATTATCCAGGCTTAAGAGACGAGTCAAATGACAACATGTTATTAATTATGTTGGGTTCCACTCTTTTAGCATGAAAAGAAGCTATATTCCAAAAGAATAATCTATTTACTGTTGTGATTTAAAGAAATAGCCTCATTCTCTCTACAGTTTAATACTGTTTGTAAGCTACAAACGAACAAGTGTTCAATTTAAATTTCCATTGAGGAAATAAGAATTGAGTGTTTTAGCATATTGGCACTATATGCTGTCAGATTGTTAAAAAGTAAACATTTTTAATGATTAAATTTCTGTGCACAAAGTTGTCAAACTCTTCCCCCTCCCCCTCCCCCCCAGTGGGAAAGTGGATTACCAAAGATCCTTCTGGAACTCTTCACCTGGAATTTCATTTTCACAGATCACTGGGCAAAGGAATGCATAAATGAGAGCATATTGTCCATCTAATTTTAGTCATAAAGAGAGTAAACAAGAAGGGAGGGGTGAAGGGATATTTTTAGGCTGCTTTGCACAGCCCTAGCTAGTAAGGGAGTCCATGTGTGTTTTGCTGTTTTCTACCCCTTTCCCTAAAAAGCTTTGCTACATGGCCAAGATGCTTGTAAATAGGCTCCCTCAAGGAACAACTTCTGGGATGCTCCCTGCAGCCCCAGCTGCTGCCCTTCTGCACCGACTGGATTTCCAGCTTGGCCTTTTCCTTTCGGAAACGCAGAGCTGCAGCCGGCGCTCGGAAAGGGGCAGCCCAGCCTGGGCTCCTGGAGGAGGAATCTCTGAGGCGAGCGAGAAGAGGCCGCTGCACGAGTTTGTGCCCCGCAGTGCACAGCTTGCACCTCAGAGGTCCCTGCTAAAATATGTTAATCCGCTTCCTTCTTCACTTCCTCGCTCTCACTGCAGTAAAATACACAGTTTTATTACAGCAGCTCATTGCTTTCTTTTAAAACAAGTCTCTAATACTTGTGTGTGCTTGTCTGAGTCTTGAGCTATTTCAAGCACATGTGAAAACATGCAGCCATAGAGGGGCAGAAAAGTAATTCTCTCTTTATGATCATAGAGTCCTCTGAGGGTCTCGGTTAACCCCATTCTCATAAATGCCTCAAAAATCAGAGGTTGTGCTCGTGTCCCCCCTGCTTGCGCGTTGCCCAGTCCGGAGGGAGTCTCTGGTAACGGGACCGTTAAGATGGGGCCGGGCGCGGTCGCTAACAGGGCGCCGAGGCAGCGGCGCCTTTAAGAGCAGCCTCCTGCGGCGCCTTTAAGAGCGGCCGCCTCGTGCCGCGCGGCGCTCTGTGCGCGTCACTGGCGGGCGCCGCGGCAGG